TGCTAAGTCTTCCTGATAGCTCACCCCACTACATATCTGCTAACTAATTAGGTGTGACATGCCAAATCTCCCCAAGTTTAGACTTAGAAGGCAAACACTCCACAAACTTGTCTTCTGAATACTAAGCCTTCACAGTATTTAATGCCTCTGTTTTTCTAAAAAGATTGCTCTAAACAGGTAAAAGCTATAATACAAACTAGGCATTTTTGACATACAGTTGTGAAAAAAATAGCACCAATGTTCATATATTTTTAAAAATTTAACAGATATGGATATCACTAAATCAATATTAGACCTAAATGGAATTTAAAGTAATGGTAAAGAGCTTGGACTCTTGTGCCAGACTATCTGGGTTAGAATCAGGTCTCCGTCACTGTATTATTTAAATCAAGTTCTATTCACATTCTATGTGCTTCAGTTTTCTCATCTGTAAAATGGTGATAAATGTGCCTCATAGGACTGTTATGAGGTTTAAATAATGTATGTAAGACACTTGGAAAACTGCCTAGCACAGAGTAGCATTATCTAAGTTATCTCTAATGTACAGCAGTCCAGAGTCACCTTTTTGTGCTAACGCTATTCCTCTTGTATTCTTAATTCATAATCCATCTGAAATTTACATACCAAGAAACAATGATAAATAATCTTTATTTTATTTATTAAATTCATCTTAGTCAAAACTAAGAACATTTTTACATTCTAGTAGTTATTAACATTCCACCAAATATGAATTGAAGCACTTGCAAATATTATGGTGATGGGAAGAATGCTAGAAAAAAGCAAGGTCAGATCAGAATATATAACATAATTTTATGTTTAAAAAACTGGGAGAATAATATGGTCATATATATGTTTGTATACGCATAAAACAGTTCTGGGAAGTTTCATGGCTGCTTAGGGAGAGGGAGAACTACACATCTTGCCTAAGGAGTATGAATGAGACTTCTCAGTACGTGGTTTAGCATCTTCAAATTTGAAGCAGTGAATATATCACCTATGTAAGAATTTAACTGCAAAAATAGAGGCAGGGATTGGGTGGGAGTATAACTAAATAAGTACTCAGGAAGCCAGGTTTTTAGTCCCAATCTGCCACTGTGTTACTTTAAGCAAGTCACTTAATCTCTGAGTCTGGCTGCACTAAACGAGGATCAGCAAAGATTTCTAGGTTCTATTCTATTTCTAAAAATGTATGATCTCAGTGAAGGGGTGGTAAACAGATGGCATTTTTTTTTGACACGGGGTAAGTACCAGTCCAACAATTTACAAAGTAAGGCAACTTTTTGAGGACTGGATGGTTTTCAAATACTTTATTACAGTTTTAAGAACTGTAGAATTGTCAAGCCCATTAACCTTTCAAGATGATTTGTACTATTTTTACACAAAAACTCTACTCAGAAGAGGTCTAATGTAACTTGTAGGAGATACCTAGAAAGAATATTCTGCACATTATTTTGTTTCTCTTGCCACAGTTGTGAAATTGTTTTTAAATAGACTTTGTTTTTATACTATGGCACAGAGTGAATACAGAACACGAAAACGATTTACACTTAAAATATATAAATGACTAAAATACCTAAAACAAGAAATTTATAATACTTAGAGGTGTTTATTATCAGACACTGCAAAAAAACACACCTCCAATGTTAATAGCTGTAAATGAGTACATACTTTGTTCCAGGTTTCATTCATGTCATTCATGTATGTATTCCATGTTATTACCTTTAATCCTACTAGTCAATCTGGCAAAGTAGGTTTTAGTATTTCCAGTTAATACACGAAGCTATGAGGCTCTATGAAGATAACTGACTAGCTTGAGGCCAAGTTCAAGTGACAAAGCTAAAGCCCCCCGAGAATCTTTGGAACTGAACTCTGTACGAGACAGTAGTTACTTCATGTTGAATGGCGGGCTGTTACAGATTTACAGCAGTTTTTACTAATTTATATAAAAGTGAGGAAAAACAAGGAGAAGAAAAACTTTTTAATAAAGCTAAATGACTCAATTTAAAGGTATTTTATTCTGAGTCTGTTCTTTCCAATTATTTGAGTAATGTCCCATTTTAAAATGAAGTGATGGTGACATGGGTTATTGTTGCTTTTTTCTTTGGCTATACCAGGCAAAAAAAAAAAAAAAAATTGGCAACTATGTTGCAGCCCCCTAAGTTTGGGGGAAATATTTCTTTTGAAACCCAAAAGCCTGGGAACTGCTCCCTTAGAAATTGATGACGCCCGAAAGACTAGAGGACTTCACACATACACACAATCTCTCTTTCTCTCTCTCTCCTTTGCCCCCACCACAGGAGAGACCCCCTCAGGATTCTCTCATTAATCTCTATTTGGATTAGCACACATAAGGACTGAGAAATGACAATAAAGTGAGTTTCAGCAATCCAAAGTCAAATGAGTTAATGCCGGATTCTGGTAGAGGGCCTTCCTCAGGATTCTTTTCATCACTTAACTTTTCTCATCCCTTATTTTCAGTACTACTCACTGAAACCTGGGCTCGAACTTTTTTCCTAGGATAGTAACATTTTTTAATACTACTGCTAAATGGCAATCAATACTTAAGCCACATAAAAATAACTACTTGAGGTCTTCAATAATCTGCTTTTATTTAAAGCCTTTTTCACTTTGACAAAATAAACATTTTTAATGTTTCTTCTATCTACAAAAGAAAACTGGTCTACAAATCAGACACAAGACGCTTTAATTTCTAAATTTCTGTATCTCTATTTAATAATTAAGTAGATATACATATGATTTTTGCAAGTTCATGAACAGGCTGATCAAACTGGATAAATTTCTTGAAAATAATTTTATTGTGTAAATGGCAAATAAGCTTTTTACTCCTCTTATTACCAAGTCTTGTTTCTTACCTATATTCCTTTAGGAAGCATCAAATTTTAAATACTTTATGTACATAATTAACATAAGTTTCGGTCACAACATATTAAATTCACATTTAAAACTACAAAGAGACCTATTTTTAGACTTATATATACTTACATATATTTTTAATATACTACTTGATGCTATTTACATTATTTTATGGTGCTTTATTAAAAAGAAAGAGCAGAAAAATCTGGATCTTGCAGGATACATAACTAAAAGTATTTATAGTCTACACTTGTAAATTACACTGTTCAAAAACACTTTTTAAAGGAATGTCACTTTTAAGAATTAAACATACAGTCTGGGTAACCTAGAGCACTCTTTCCATGCCCAAATGATAACAGGTTCAGTTATATTTATTATAGATTGCACTGTTTCCAAACTAAAATTGGTAATAATTCTGCTTAAATTTTATACTAATCAAATATTGTTACTTTTACTTCTCCTTTTTTTAAATACTTGAAATATATTGCTGGATAGTCTTTTCATTATGTATTTGTTTCATTATGTATTTACTCAACTAACTTGGGGTGCAAGGTACTTTTATGTATAAAAGTCCTTTCCAATCGACAGTGAAAATAATATAAAAATGCATAAAATACACTCAGTGGTTCTCAAAGGGAATCTGAGAGTCTATTAATAATCTTTTAACCTGGTTCAAAGTACTCAAGAACAAATGTGAGCTTTTTGTTACGTTGACAAAATTTAACTGTTACCTGATACCTACACTTTAAATGCATTATGTTTAATGTAGCAACAATGATGACTATTGAGGTTTAAGGGTAAATGAAACAAGAGTACCTGGTCCAAGAAAAAGGCTGTCTAAGTGGAAAAGATGGGCAGCCTGAAGTTTGTAAATAGTAACAAGACAAACTCCAGTGCTAGCTTGTTCATGTAATCACCAATATGTAGGTCAGAATAAACTAGTAAGCTATATATTACTGTCTACCTAGCAATCTACAGATCAACACGAGAGGAAGAAACTGCTCAAATGTGATTACTGTTAACAAATTTGAAATATAAAGCACAGTACGTCTCTTATTAAAATTGTAACCTTCAATTCTGACATCCTTTCTATCACTTTTGCTACTCTTTGAAATGAACCCTCCTCAATTAGAAAAGCAGCAGCCACTTTTAAGATGCAATTTTTCCCCCCAAAGTAACTTGCCTAGGAAGATATAATGCAGAAAATAAAATGTAACAGATAAATCAACTACAACGTTTTAGAAAACCTAAAATTCTCTGCCAAACAAACCAATTTCTCCAGTTTGGCAATGCGTGTATTTTTATTCTTCTATGGATATCCCATTACACTAATCAACAATGCTTATAAGTCACCCTAATGTTCAAAACATCATTTACAAGCCATACTCATTTTTTACTCAAATTAGGCTCAAACTGGACCCAAATTCTGGCCATTTCCACATCCCGGGCACATTGATATATATGCGGGGGAATCCAAGAAATCAGTTAAGTGCCGGTATCTTTTCCAGAGAAGGGTCAAATTCGTATTTGCCCGCAAATGCTACCGTCTCAAAAGTCTTCAAATTCTCATTAGCGGTGCAGAGTACAAAGAGGCCTGACCACGGAAACACCTGTCCTAGCACCGGGAAGGCAGTGGGAAATGCAGTCCCCCAAGCCCACGGCGGCAGCACAGCCTCGGGCAGCGGAGATCCTGGACAAGGGGTGGCCACTGACCTACCAGCTCCCTCGGGCAGGGTCCCATAACCCGGACGCGCTTCCCCCACGAGAACCAGGACATCTGTCAAGCTGGCAGTGACCCACCCTCCGCGAAGCCCTCTCCTCACTCCTTCCCAACCCGGCCCCCGGCCGCCCAATTGCTCCGGGTCCGCTCCGGCTTCTAGCTGCACTCTGCCACCTCATCCCTCCTCGCCGGTCTCGCGGCCCCGCCACCTCTGCCCGGCGGCCCGGGTTCGAGCTGCCCACGGGCCACAGTCCCGGCCCCGGACAGGCTTGCAGAGCCGACGGTCCCTTCGCGGCCCGGTTCCCGCCGCCCCCCCAGCCCGAGCTCCCGGCGCGTGCTCCCCACCCCCAGCCTCCGCCCTCTCCCCGCTCTGCCGCTCCCGGCCCGCTCCCCCAAGCCGGGCTACCTGGAGGCAAGGGCGGCGGAGCACTTCACCCAGGGCCCCAAGTCGCAGAGGGCCCGGTGCTCGGGGTCCCGCTCCTTCTCACGCTCCACGTGGTAGGCGTATATGGAGAGCAGGATCCCGGCGGCGCACACTGCATACCGGGCCACCCGCTCCCACCGCGGCACCGACACTCTCAGCAGGACGGGCGCCGCCATCTTCCCCCCTCCGCGGCCGCCGCCGCCGCCTCCCTCCGCCTCCACCTCAGCCGCCGCCGCCCGTCGGGGCCCGACCCAGCCGCCGCCGCTACCGCCACCGCCTCCGCCGCCACCGCCACAGCCGCCGCCGCCGCCGCACCCCATTGGCTCGACCGTCTCCTGCGGGCCCCGCCCCAACAGGCTCGCGGCCCAACCGTCCCGAAAGGAGAGAGCCCAGTGGGATGGGGAAGGCGCGCGCGAGCGCGGAGGGAGAGGGCGGAGCGCGCAACCGCCGGGAGGCCGGGCCTGCGGGCGGAGACAGAGGCTGCCGCGGCGCGTGGGTGGGCGGGGCCGGGACGTGGTGGGGGCGGGCCATGGGAGGGGCGTGGTCATCGGGGGTCAGGGGAGGCTCTTGCTGAGGTGGGGAGGGTGGAGCCTTTGGGGAACGGGTGCAGTGAATAAATCACAGATACCACTGTGTGTGACACCGCCCTTGGTCCCTCCTCCTGGCGGGTGGTGATCAGTTGCAACCTTTTTTCCTTTTTTGTCATTATCACTTGATATTTTCTGACCCAACCAACTGTGGCCAATGCCCAGAGCTCTGGAGCCAATCTTCCATTACCAGATCTTCCTCACCACCACCTTCAGGCACCCCATGTTCAACAGATGCAAATTTACCTATTTCTTAAAAATTATGAATACCTTTCTTCTCTGTAAGCTGAATTTGAGATGGTTTAACATAATTTATGTAATATAGAAAAATAGATGAATAATATTGTTAGGTACATACCCAATTTTCTATAAAAACAAACCAAAAAATCAGGACGAAGAAAAAGACAAGTCAGAATAAAAGGAAAGGAATAAAGTCACAGATAAACAGCCCATAGAGTCGTGCACAATTCTTAAAATTGAAACATAAATTTGACTCTGAGCTTCCTGGTGGCCAAAACTAAAAGAAAAACCTGTGTGTGATTCTCACTGTCTCTAAGAAGAAAGAAACACTCCATTCTTGGAGACTGCCAGCTTTTGTCTGATTGCAGCTCTCAAAGAGATTTCAAGGGCTTTATATAAATTTTTAGTAACAAGCAATGTCCTTGTAGTTACTATTTTTGAGTAACAAATTACCCCAAATTTAACAACTTAAAACAAAAATCCCTATTTTCTCAGTTTCTGAGGGTCAGGAATGTGACTGCCATTTAGGTCCTCTGGCTCAAGGTCTCTCAAAAGCTTCGTTCAACATGTGGACCAGGGCTGCAGGCATCTCAAGGCTGGAGAATCCTTTTTCAAGTTCACTCAATGGCCATTGGCAGGCCTCAGGTCCTTTCTGGCTGTTGTCTGGATACACAAATTGCGTCTTGCTTCTCTCCATAAGAAGCTGCTAGCTTTTCTTACAGCAAGGGTTAAGAGAGGGAGATGGAATTGTTGTAACCTAATCTCAGAAAAGACAGCCCATCATTTTCACATATTCTGTAACTTAGAAGATAGTTCACAACTTAAGTGTCCATTGAAGAATGAATAGAAAATTTGGTATGTTCATATGGAATATTATTCACCCATAAAAAAGAAGGAAATCCTACCATTTGAGACAACATGGATGAATCTTAAGGGCATATGCTATAAATAATAGGCAGAGAAAGACAAACACTGTATGATCATACATGTGGAATGTAAAAAAGATGAACTCACAGAAACAGAGTGCATTGGTGACTGACAGATGATGCAGGGTGGGGGGAAATGGGGAGATGTTGGTCAAAGAGTACAAACTTCCAATTATAAGATAAATAAGTCCTGGGGATCTAAGTACAGCGTGGTAACTATAGTTAATAATACTGTGTGGTATACTTGAAAGTTGCTAAGAGTAAATTTTAAATGTTCTCAACACACACACAAAAGGTAATGATGTGAAGTGATGGATGTAAATAACTTATATGTGGTAATCATCTCACAATATACATGTATATCAAATCATCACGTTTTATACATTTTTAAGCTTACACATTAGTTATATGTCAATTATATCTCAATAAACCCAGGGAGAAGAAGCTGGTCCCCACACCCAGGCCACACTAAAAGGGAGAGAATTACACAAAGCATAAATACCAAGAGTGGGGATCACTGAGAGGCAGCCTAAAGGCCGCCTGCCACCGTCCTTAAAAAGATCACCACTCTGACTCTCTAATGGTGTTTCCGTAAATCTAACTAGACTGATTCTCGTGCAACCACCCTCTTTCTGGATTCATTACTCACTTGAGGAGAACTGTTGGTCATCTGGCTTCTTTCACTCATTATGTTTGTGAGGTTTATCTGTGTTATTGTACATAGCTATTGTTATTTTTCATTGCTATGTAATAGCCCAGTATATGAATAACCACAATTTGAATCATCCATTCTGTCCACTGTTAATAGACATTTGACCTGTTTTTAGCTATTATGAATAAGGTGCTAGGAATATTCACTTAACATCTTTCAGTGGACATAAACTCTACTTCTATTGGGAATACATCTAGGAGTGAAATTAGAATCAAACAGTATTAGTACATACTGCCTCTGTCAATTCAGGTCTTCCCAGAAGCAGATGCCAAGGTGGAGTTAGATGTGTAAGAGATTCACAGAGGCAATGCCTATGATGGAAAAAGATGAGAAGCAACAAGAACAGGCATGGAAAGCCTCCAGACCACAGTGCACGTCTGAAAACTGTGAAAGCTCTACAATCTCAGCCAGGCTGACAGGGACCCCAGAGTACAGACTGCCCCTTATCGGAGCCATTTGTAAGACTGGAATGGCCCAGATCTAATACGGTTACTGGCTGGGAGCAGCCTGGGGAGAGCATGGCTTCAGCATGAGCACTGACATGGATCCAAGATGAGGTTACTGGCTGACTAGCCTCTCTGCAGCAGGCTGTCTTGAAGATTGCAGTAGTGGGGCCACCAGACCACCAAACAGCTTTCCAAAGTGGTTGCAACAATTTCAACTCCCGCTAACAAAATATGAGAATTCCTGGCACCCCACATCCTCACCAACCCTTGGCAATGTCAGTGCCATTAGTTTTGGACATCTTTGTGGCCCTCAAGAGGGATACCACTGTGGCTTTAAAATCACCTCTGCCTGAAGACTAGTTAATTTGAGCACCTTTAATATACTTATCGACTATGTAGGTGTTCTCTTTTGTGAAGTGCCTATTCATGTCTCTTTTCCAGTATTAAAAATAGATTGTCTGGGATGGAACCAAGATGGCAGTGTGAGTAGAGCAGCAGAAATCTCCTCCCAATACCATATATATTTTTGAAAATTCAACAAATACAGCTATCCCTAAAAGAGAGACCAGAAGACACAGGACAACAGCCAGACTACATCTACACCTGTGAGAACCCAGCACCTCACGAAGGTGGTAAGATACAAGCCACGGCCTGGTGGGATTGGAGTGCCCCTCACCCCAGCTCCTGGCAGGAGGAGAGGAGTCAGAGTGGAGAGGGGGAGGGAACTCAGGACTGCTAAATACCCAGCCCTAGCCATCTGCACCAGGGCGCAGACACACAGTGCGTGGAGTGCTGTGTACTAGGGAAACAGGACAGTAAAACCTGTGAGTGGGTCCCCACAGCTGACACCCCTGGGACAAAGAAAGGAGTGTGCTTTTTGAAAGACATGAAGGGACAGGGACCCCACAGCTGGATGGAAACTTCCCAGGACACTTGGCCCAGCATCTGGGAACTCCAGGCGCCCTAACACCCTGGGCGACAGTGCAGCTTGGAGGCCGCTCATAGCAATAAACAGCCTCCCACCCATTCCCCCTCCATTGCTGCTCCACCATAGTGGAGCAGCAGCCTGAGGCAGCAGGGCAGAGCTTCTTTCACAGCAGCCGGGCAAGAATTAGAAACCCCATCTGCGCACAGCTGCCCAGCACAAGGTGCTAGGGGTTGCTGTTCTCCCAGGGGAGGAAGGCCACAAACCAGCAAGAAGGGATGTTCCCCAGTCGACACACGTGCCATCTTCCCACAACTAACTCTATCACCATGAAAAGACAGAAAAATTTGATACAGACCAGATTAACCCAGACAGTCTCCCCTGAGAAGAAATCTAGGGAGATAGACCTAACCAATCTCTCTGAAAAAGAATTCAAAATAATGGTCATAACCATACTGATGGAGCTGCAGAGAAATATGCAAGAGCTAAGGGATGACGTCCAGAAGGAGATTACAGAAATGAAACAATCTCTGGAAGGATTTATAAGCAGAATGGATAAGATGCAAGAGGCCATTGTTGGAATAGAAACCAGAGAACAGGAATGCATAGAAGCTGATGCAGAGAAAGATAAAAGGTTCTCCAGGAATGAATAAATATTAAAAGAACTGTGTGACTAATCCAAATGGAACAATATTCACATTATAGGGGTACCAGAAGAAGAAGAGAGAGAAAAAGGGATAGAAAGTGTATTTGAAGAAATAATTGCTGAAAACTTCCCCAAACTGGGGGAGGAAATAATCGTTCAGACCATGGAAGTACACAGAACTCCCAACAGAAGGGACCCAAGGAGGACAACACCAAGACATATAATAACTAAAATGGCAAAGATCAAGGACAAGGACAGAGTTTTAAAGGTAGCTACAGAGAGAAAAAAGGTGACCTACAAAGGAAAATGCATCAGGTTATCATCAAATTTCTCAACAGAAACCTTAAAGGCCAGAAGAGAATGGCATGATATGTTTAATGCAATGAAACAAAAGGGCCTTGAACCAAAAATACTGTATCCAGCACAATTATCACTTAAATATGAAGGAGGGATTAAATAATTTCCTGACAAGCAAAAGTTGAGGGAATTTGCCTCCCACAGACCGCGTCTACAGGGTATTTCAGAGGGACGGCTCTAGATGGGGGCACTCCTAAGGCTAAACAGATGTCACCAGAGAAAATAAAATCACAGCAAAGAAAACAGAAGAACCAAATACTAACTAAAAGCAAAAAATAAAATCAACTACCCATGAAATCAGTTAAAGGAAACACAAAAAAGGACAGAATAAAACACCCAACATATAAAGAATGGAGTAGGAGGAATAAGAAGGGAGAGAAGAAAAAAATCTCCAGACAGTGTCTATAATAGCTCAATAAGCAAGCTAAGTTAGGCAAGAAGATACTAAAGAAGTTAAC